GTAGATGAAAAAAAAAAAAACGAAAAAAAAAAACGATCCTCTCTCTCTCTCTCTCTTAGGAAGTAGTTAGAAGTAGGAGAAAGAAGACGAAGAAGAAGAAGAAGAAGAAGAAGAAGAAGAAGAAGAAGAAGAAGAAGTAGAAGAAGAAGAAGAAAGGAAGAACAAGAAGAAGAAAGGAAAAAAAAGAAAAAACGACATACTCTCTCTCTCTCTCTCACGTGGCCGGTCTTGAGTCGCGTTTGTCTTGCGCTGGGATGCCACGTGGCGTTTGCTGCCACGTGGCAGCGGCAGCAGTAGAAGATGAAAAAAAAAACAAAAAAAAACGATCCTCTCTCTCTCTCTCTCTCTCTCTCTCTCGTAGGAAGTAGTTAGAAGTAGGAGAAAGAAGACGAAGAAGAAGAAAGGAAGAAGAAGAAGAAGAAGAAGAAGAAAAAGTAGAAGAAGAAGAAGAAAGGAAGAACAAGAAGAAAGGAAGAACAAGAAGAAGAAAGGAAGAAAAAGAAAAAACGAGACTCTCTCTCTCTCTCTCTCTCTCTCTCTCTCTCTCTCTTGCGCACGCACGCTCGCCTTCTCTCTCTCTCTCTCACTCTCTCTCTCTCTCTCTCTCTCTCTCTCTCTCTCTCTCTCTCTGTCTCGCGCGCGCGCGCGCGCGCGCCTGCCCACTCGCCTACTCCCTCTCTCTCTCTCTCTCTGTCTCTGAAGTGGTAAGCTTGGGTTAGAAGAAGAAGAAGAAGGAGAGGAGGAAGAAGAATAAAGGAAGAAGAAGAAGAAGAAGGGAAGAAGAAGAAGAAGAAGAAGAAGAAGAAGAAGAAGAAGAAGAGAATGGGCACTTACCTCCACGACTGGCGCTGCTGGCCACGGACGGCGACGGGCAACGCGCGACGGGAGCTGCTGGCGGCGGCCACGAGCGACGACGAAAACCACGAGGACGGCGAAGGGAGCTGCCACGGGCGACGACGGCCACGGGCAACTCGTGACTGCCCTCCCTACAACTCTGAAAGGCGGGAAAACTGGGAGGACTGCCCTCCCTCCAACTTTCAAAATGGCGGCCTCATATGGGCCGCCGATCTGCCTCGATCAGCGGTCCGGAGAGGCCGCCGTTTTGGAAGCACATAGGCGGGCCTGCGGTACCGGTTTGAATTTCTTTTTGGGCGAGGAGGCCCCCACAACCCGTGTGGGGGCCTCCTGGCCCAAAAAAAAATTGTTTCGGCCTTTATTCTGTGATGCGCTGTAGGCCGCCGGGAGGCAACCGGACCGGTCGACCGGCCGGTCCCACCGGCCCGGTTCCGGTTGGGGGTGGACCCCCCGGTAGGACCGGGTATGTAGCACTGAACTGAATGCCATAAAGGGGGCTGTGCGTACTCGGGCTTGTTTGATGGTGACTCCTATATGTACATTCTTACCGCCAGCAAAAATGAGAAAAGCTACAATTTAATTCAGCTAATTTATGAAGATCAATTCTTTTTTCCCTAGCAAATCCTTGTTTTTTCGACGCATCCTGTATTTCAGCAGATAAAAGATTGATCTAAACTTGTTTTTTTTTCTTTTGGTCAAACGTCGTCTCCACAAGGTGCCTTAAAAAATCCACTGAAGAGCTAAAGGTTTATCGACGACTCTTTGGTATAACGGATGGGACTGATTGGGTGGTTCCGGAGATTCTGACTTTTCTTACTTCTATTTAGTATTTCCTTTCCTTTTTTTCAGCCATGACCCCCCTCATCTCACGGCAACCCAACCCCCCAAAACTCGGCAATTCTCCCGATGCACCCACGCTCCCTGTTTTACGTTACTGTATCATCAAGAGGGACAACCTTGCCAGACAGCAATCACAGGCATCGATGCCACAGATACTTGATTGAAGCACATATTGGCACCAGCCCTTTCATACAGGCACTTGGGATGCTCTACACGCCCCATGGAAGGACCATTATGCCCCTCAACAGCTCACGCCCGCGCGAAACTGTTTGTGACGAATTTCGCCCCATGGAAGGACCATTATGCCCCTCAACGGCTCAAGCCCGGAGTAGTCTATTGGAGCTATCACAGGCAGTGTTGTCACCCGCCGAACAACTCGTAACAAATGATTGTGACTGACCAATGAGGTCTGTCACACAAGGTTCAGGCCACTGCCTCAAAAAGCAGAAGAGGAGAAATGAAAGCCAAAAAGTCCGGGTGCAGTGTCATCACAGACGTAAAAGATTAAAAAAACAAGCAATGAAAGAAAGCGGGGCATTTTGGTCACAATCTGGGTTCATCAACTGGCATCCAGTTCATCAGCCCAAATTGAGTACCGACCGAGCAAGGTGTGTGTATCACTGCATTGAATCGATTCCATGAATCGCTGGGTCATTCTGAATCGAGCCAACGGAAACGGTAGGAGATTAAGGAGCAACCTCATCTGCTGTGACTCTAACAAAGCCACACGGGGATGAACCCGGCACCAACCGATCTCTACACTAAGTTAGCATGGACTTCCTCAGCATAAAGTGCGGATGTCAAGTCGTCGACAGTCTTCCCAAACGTGACCCCTGTCAAGCAAGTTTGCCTGACTACTGACTGAGGGCGGCAAAGTCAACCGCCTAAGGCAGTAAAGTCAGGTGAGGACATGCACACAGTTCCGGAACACACATTTCAAAGTCCGTTCTTTCTTCGTCTTGAATGAGGAAATGCCTCAATCTCCCCGGAACAGGGAACCTCCTGAAGTGATAAAGCTGCTTGTCCCGATACCAAAGGGCCTCAACATGGAGGGGTTCAGGAATAAAGCAAACAAAATCAACAGGTCCTCAAACCCAGCTGGAAGACTCGAGGAATCACCATACGCAGCTGGAATGTAAATGGGTTAGGACACATCCTAAGCATAGTTGCGGCGCACGTCGGTGCGCCGGTTTGCGCACGTCGCGCCGCGCACCGAAGCGCAGCGCACTTGAAAAATTAGGTCCAAAAAAATAAATAAATAGGGGTTTTCTAATTTCTTAGGGCCCCCAACTCGGCAAAAATGTTAAACTCACCGCGCAAGTTCACAAACCGGCCGCGCCCATGGCCCAAACTTTTCTTTTGGGTAAGGGCTGCGGAAAATTCAATTTGCGCAGGCCCTTCCCCAAAAAGTTTCGAATGGTGAGGCACAAAATAGGGCTCATTCCAACTTTTGTTTTAGGCGGGGTATGAGAGCTGTCCTTCCCGCTGCCTTCTGCAAATCCCACACAGTAGTGGGGTCAGTTCGCAAGAAGGGGTAGTCACTTAATAACGACTTGCCCCGCGAAGCTTCGCAGAAGTCGCAACTTGCATGTTCTATCGCCAGCCGACCACCAATATATGCTGAAGATTGGCGTTCAGGTCTGCA